AAACTGGTCATGTCATGTAATGACGTTTTATGGTAGACACGTGGAAGATACTTGGCGCATCACTGACAACAAAGTATGTCCAATGCCATTCCCAATTTTTCATTGGATCTATATGTTCCCATGCTTTAACGTTGACAATTGACATGCCTTTGCCTTTGACTGTGGAGGATGGGACTGGATAGGCAATTTCCTTTTTTGCAAACGCTTTGTATCATTACTATTTAATAGCAATAGCACAATTGAGTCGACTCTCCCTGTAGCAGGCACGAACTTGGAATAGGCGGCGTACTTTTTCACACATTTTGTCGTTTTTGTGTAAGAGCTGTAGTCAAAACCGAGAACAGGAAAGAAAAATAGATTATCGTCATCACATAATATTCATCTTGTAGTGTTTCTGCAAGTATACCAGGTCATTGCAGTGGACATAATATAGCTTGAATGTTGTAATCTGTGACATGAAAACATTCGTGTTTCGTCTGGCAAAACATCTGTTTATAAATGGTCAATTAAAGGTTTTACTACACAATGACCAATAAACGGTAGATGTACACATATTTATTCAGCCGTAAATCTTAACGAACGAGTTCAAATCGAAGATGAATTGGTTCTAACCATATATTGAAGACATTAAACTGACCCTAATAATTTACCTTTCTGTAGCAAAAGCAAGGGCGTAACAATTGTTCGAACATGCGATGAACTGAGATTATAGCGAGTTGGAATGACGATGCTTGCCTTTCTTGGTTAACAAGGGTTGCGTGTACATGCATGAATGCGAGCTTACAGAGAGGCATTGTCCATAGTGTGCACCCAAACAGAAATACATGTAAAGAGCTTCTTATCCTCTGAAACGACAAATACATGATACAAGCGCAATAGCTGAAAAGTACTTCTGCACAGGTTCCAATTGCCCCCGCCCCATCCCACCTACTGAACCTTTCAAATATACATTCAGTGTGTTTAGATACAATTCTCATTGTGTTCTGACTATAATGCACATTGTCTGACGAAACCTTTGTGAGGACTTTCTGGCGTTGTCCATTGGTGGTTACCCCAATGTAATTGGAATCTGTTGCCAATAGGGATCCAAGCACTCCATATGCATGTAGAGGCCAATAAACTTCCTGTTCAGAAAAGCATGTTTACGCGTAAAATCGGGCAAAACTTAGAAAAGTACGAATAGCTGCTGAAAACAATAGATCAGACTATACATGACAATTAGGTTGCCCAGCCAGGTATGACGACGGACCGTCGACACACCTGGCATGAAATGCATGTGCTGCCTACAGGAACACAGGGTCATCTCAAAGATATTTTATGCTTGTCCATGTGTATTGCATATGTCTCATCTATTGATTATCATCTTACGTGTCTTTCATATCTTTTATGTTGAGATATGTAAAAGAATATGATACCCATAGACAAGCTTAAATCAACTACGGTATTAAATGTCTCAAAATATATAGGTGGCAAGACCACCCTAAGATCGACAGGACTGGATATTATTTGTTAATTGTTAAGACATGCCGTTTACTTCCCCCAGTTTAATTCCCCTAAAGGATTATCTTATCTTAGCTGATATCTCTATCCCCAAGTCCGACCCCAACCACCGTCTGTGACACCCGTCCTGGTTCTTCTTTTGAGACGACCCCTCCTACCTGTTTCTTTTTATAGTGATAGTGAGGCTCCATGGTAGCTACATCCTTAATAGTTTCAGTATTAAAGTAAGTAATTTCTTCCGTCAGCTATCGTTTATAATGAAGCTAAGTCTAGTTTCAAAATAGTCATATATAAAGTGTCCTTTGAAATACAATATCATCGCACACTAATTTGCATAAAGCCATGGTCTGTTCTAAATAAGTCGCTTTTAATTGTTCATTTCTGGACTAGTCTCTCCTCAGTAAAGTCCTTTTTTAACGTGTTCTACCTCCCTACCACTGAGACTGTAGTTAGGCCGAACTTAGTTTAACAGATATTTCACACTTCCACATATTAACTACATATATTGTAGATATAAATGTGAAAAAAAAGTGTTTTTTCTATCTCCGACAGTACTTTAACAAATGAATCTGCAGCAAAAAAACTGTTTTAAATTTGGGCTAAAAATCAATATTGAATTCAAAAGATAAGACATATAACATACCCATAACCAGTTATGCATTATGCGAGTTTGTATTTGTTTACTAATTCACATATACTCATTTTGGTGTTTTTCAGCATGACCCTTCTCATCGATACAACGTCACCAGTCAATCCCATATTTAAACAGAGCTCATAGTGTTGGAAAATAGTCTGTAATGATACAATTTCCTTTTGTTATTTTGCTAGGCGTAAATTAAACATCAAACTAACTACATTTGCATATGTCTATTCAACAATCACTCACACAAATGTGTAGAACCAGGTGGAAAGCAGATAACAAAGTGCCCTTGACCTCAGAAACAACATCGTCCAAATGACAGACATACCTCAATACGTTTCATGTTTCGAAAAGTGGGTTCTTATTGCGAAATATGCACTGAATCGCCATGAACATAATGTAATGGAGAACAGATAAGCTTACTATGGTCCGTTTGCTCGAACAAATATTGACATGTGTTTGCAATGAAGAACCGATGTTTTAGGCTGCATTGTTGCACTTGCATTGACATACATCTCAGTATTTACACAGGTTCCTATATTTCAAATATGTATCACTTTCCGCACAGTTCTGTGACCTAAAGTGGCACTGAAACGCTATCGATTAACATTGATTGAATAGAATGCTGTTAATGATGTTATCAGTTAAGGATGCAAACATTCGCAGAAACGTATCCAGTGCCTATAAAACTGGAGGCCAGTTGATCACCACCACTCTATCAGACGTCTGACGTCCAACATGCTGCTACTTCTGGTCACTCTGTCCTGCCTGGCGGCCGTCAAGGCTCAAGCTACACCTTGCTGCATTGGAATCGGTTGGTCAGCCACAGCGTTCGACATTCGCGCGCAGTCCCAGGGAAATAGCGTAAGTATGAAATGATTATTTTTGTGACAATATGAATTTATTTTGTGTGGATATAGTAAGATATACAAATACCAATTTAATTTACTTGAGAAAGTTAAAAATGACGATGATAAATACAACTTTTAGTAGTAGTTATAGTAGTATATTTGTAATATTAGTATTAGTAGTAATAGTTGTAGTAGAAGTAGTAATATTGGTACTTTGTATAAGAAGAATATTTTACAGCAATCTAATAAAAACAAATCAAAAGCAGTTGTAATTTGCCTCTACAAGGCTGTATGGCAAAGGGATGATTTCCACATTCCCGATAGTTAACTTACCTTTCATGTCGAGCAATATTCCAACAGCTCCAGCCTTTGGTGTTTACATTTTAAAACGTTTGAGGTACAATCGAGCATGCTTTTTACCAAGATTTTAAAAGTTTCATACGACTCCATGTTCAGAAATTGAAGTCATGATATCTCATATGAACAATCACTGATTGTCTGGTTCAGACTCGATTGTTTGCAGACCGCTTCGTACAGCTGTAATACTGGTGAATGCAGACACAAACACTTACTTATGATGTACATGTAGTCATAATTGTACAATCGACAATTGTGTACGAAAGTGGAAAGGCTTTTGCCGTTTCTGTCTATTGATATTCCTTTACAGTATTTTCAAATCCAGAACAAAACGACTGTAATTACATCCGGAATGAATCGCCTGTTTCTTTTCTATTTTAGATAAAAGCTGACTTCTACTACGACTGGAACAACAGAGCTACTGCCATCCAGTACTATGTGGATGGATCAGTTCAGAAGTCAACCAGAATTGTCACGTCGTATGAAAAGGTAGCACCATTCATTTACAATGGAAATTGTCACCAGCAGAGTATAAATATCATGCGAGGTATAAAAGAGAAGTGGTCGCATCGGAGCTGACTGTTTGCTACTTTTGTTTCAGTACTAGCCACTAAACACAAACAGACAGACAGAGAGACAGACAGACACACACACACACACACACACGGACGCACGGACGCACACGCACACACACACACACACACACACACACACACACACACACACACACACACACGCTCTCACACACAAGCACGCACGCCCAAACACACACGCCCTCATACACACGCGCACGCTTCCACTCACACCACTTGCGGGAACGCATCACAGGTGGCCCCATCTGATCACACCTTGCCTTGTTGTGTACAGTTCATCGGGATATGGTTTATCCGGGTAGCTACCAGTTCACTGAAGTATGATTGTCCTTGTTAATAACTGCTAATTTAGGTTTGGTTTCCACGTGTTACATTCAGGTAATTGAAGTAAAGTTCTGCGTATTACACGCAGGTAATTGAGTTAAAGTTCTACGTGTTACATACAGGTAATTGAAGTACGGTTCTGCGTATTACACGTATTATTGAAATATGGCTCTACGTGTTACATAGAGGTAATTGAGGTCTGGTTCTGCGTGTAAAATAGGGGTAATTGAGATGTGATTCTGCTTATTAAATTATTCTAACTGAGGCATGCGTCAACCCGGTATTTGCCGTTCGACGAATTGTTCTTCATTACTCATTTGGATATTGTTATACAGACTAAAAGACTAGACTATTGAAATATGGTTCAACCTGGTAACCATCCTTCAATGTGGTGTGGTTATCCCTGTTGAGTATGGTTCAGTCTGGTTGATTGTATTGTGATGAAACTGTGCAACTGATGTGTAATCTTTTCAGATGCCTACAGTTTATCAAGGTAATCAAACATACGGGTACCCGCAGTCCATCGAGCTACCATGCAGTCAGCTATCACCAAACATTTCCTACATGTGCTTACATTTCAGTGATTATAACAAAATAAGACTTTGGTTTTGGACCCAACATAATTTCAGTACCTACAAAACCGTTTAGAATATATGATTTTGAATTTGCAGAATGAACGCTACACCATCGCCGCAGATGGAACATGTACCAAAGACGTCCCAACTGACGTCCTCTTGCCAAACTGCATCCCGAGTACGTGTCAACGTCACAATTGCTTTTTGTTTATTGAATTTCAACAGATGATTATCATATTTTTTACTATCGTAATGTCGCTGTGTAATTGGTGTTGTTCGTATGTGAATAATAGTGAGTGGGGTACCACGTACAACTGAACCGTGTTTTCCTCTGCCTTTGAACCTTTGAGGTTTTATCGTAAAATTGCATTTTAATCATCTAAAGTCCCACGAAGATACATTGTGATGTCATCCATCTTGATACCTGCTTGTATAAACTGTTTCACGTTTTCAATTTGTTCTATTGATACATGTGTGTGTTTAACTTTGTTCTGTTGTCACCTAACAAATATTTCTAATACAACAATTATTATTGTTTCTTAAATTAAATCATTTTTGTTTGGTAACAAAACAGATGTTATATTACTCATTTAAAACAGTTTGGGATATTCCTATAGCTAGGTGGGCTGCAGTGTTTGGGTGCTAGATATACTCTTTTTCCTTCAGTAGTGACCCAGGGATTAGGCTGAGATTATATTTTGAATTTGTTTTGATACAACTTATATAACACATCCTTCCGCGTAGATGACAGTGCAGACCTTGGCTCAAGCTATATCGGCACTGAGGGAAGCGGGTTCAAATCTGCCAACTGGTTGGTTACTATTGGCTCTGTCAACCTAACCTTGGGCGTCACCGACCCCGAGTGTGTCTTAACATTCCTGGGAATCGTCAACCAGGCAGCAGTTCGTGAGTAGATACTATACAAAGATCAGTACAAGTCGTTATATAATGACATTATTCACTTTACACGTGTGAGAGACAAATGAATTTGACCAAACGGCTTGAATGCAGAAGCAGGGGGATCCTATAATCTGGCTGCACCATTAAAGGTCACCACGAGACAGTGTGAGCAGAATCCCCTGGTATGAAGGAAGAAAATCCAGCGAGATTGATATTCGATTTCGATTCTTAAATGCATCGTCGAAGTCCATAAAGGAATGTTCTGACTTTCCCATCATCTCGGAGGGATGAAACCCATAGATGATAATGATGATGGTGATGGTGATTTTTGGAGGTATTAAACAGGGGATAAACCAATTGTGTTTTAATATAGAGCAAGGATACCTATAGACTTAATAGCACTCACTATATTCTTAATTGAAGGTGAACAACGTCGCCATGAATTACTGCAAAGAATATTATCCACTGATGGTGGACGTCAAAATCGAATATTTTCAAAATGTATAGTACGATGTAGAATATTTTGTTGTGCTTTAAAGTATGTTCCAAACAATTATGATTATGATTGACATTAAAGGTATTGTTTTCTCTTCAGCTCAAGATACAGAACTATACTTTAACGGACGTAAAACAGGCATCACGGATCCAACTGCTTTCGATGTCCCCATCAACTGTCAATAAAAGTTTCAAAATATGTTATTCATGGCAAGTTCTGTTTTCAGTTACAAGCACAACACCACAAGAGGCGCTACCCTTTCTGGTGATGGCATATGTGTATGAAAAGTCAACAGTGTGGTCAAACTGAAGTTTTCCAGTTAGTGAGTGAGTTTAATTTTATGCCGCACTTAGCAATATTCCAGCTATATGGCAGCGGTCTGTCAATAATCGTCTGAACCAGACAATCCAGTGACCAACAGCATGAGCATCGATCTACGCAATTGGGATACGATGACATGTGTCAACCAGCGAGCCTGGCTACCGCCTTGATGACGTTTTCCAACAATATTATGTGTCTAAATATGGACTTCAAAGGCCATCATTCAGTGTTGTTCTGAGTGTCTTTCAGTGGGGAAGATGGGCCAAGTTCTGCTATTAGATCAATTACCTGGATGAATAATAATGAACTTCTGAATGATAGAACCATACCACAAATTAATGGGAAATATTATGATGACCTGGAAAAGGACCTGAAATAAGTTCCCAGGTATCGATGGTTATCCTATTGAATGTTTCAAATTCTTCTGGAACGACTTAAGCCCATGGATGTTTAGATTTATAATGGGGATCTTTACTAACAATTCATTAACATGTACAATGAACAGGGGAATTATCACCTGTCTAAGGACAGAAAAATATTACAAAATTGGCGCCCAAACTCATTGCTCAATGCTCTATATAATATAATCAGTTAATGTATTGAAAACAGACTGAAATAAACCTTGAATACAGTTATACATGAGAATGAAACAGGATTTCTTCCTGGTAGATATATTAGTGAAAACACCAGGATGCTCTATGATATTATTTTTAAACTAAAACATTAACTGAAACCAGCTTTTTTGATACCATCTCTAAACCTTTTTTGACACAGGTATTAAAACTGTCCAAATATTATAAAATGTGTAGAAATTTTAACCTCAAATTCAACAGTATCAGTTATTCAAAAATAGAGATGTAGACCCGTCGGGGATTCGAACCCAAACCCTCAGATTCATGCCCTTAATCAAGCCAGCACACAAAGTCAGAGGCCTAGACCGCTCAGCCACCGCGGCTTCCACAACAATGGGAGTCGGACAACTGGTAGTCTAGACTGCGGACTTTGTGTACCCTCTGATAAGTGTTAATTGGCACGGCTCCCACGGCCGAAAGCTATGAAAATACACTTTATCTAAGGCCATTTTAGAAAGTGGTCAAATGTAACATATGTTATATTTGGGATTACACTTTCTTGGTAAAGTACAGCCGCGGTGGCTGTGCGGTCTAGGCGTCTGACTTTGCGTGCTGGGGATTAGGTGCCTGTTCCGACTCTGATGGGACTCAACCCAAAAGAAGTACTATCTAGAATCTGTACTTTTACTGAGAAAGTGTAATCCCAAATATAACATATGTTACATTTGACCACTTTCTAAAATGGCCTTGTGTATTTTCATACGCAATGTCACATAGAGTCATGCTTCTGAATGTGTCTGCTCGTACGAGTATTCGCTCGCTTCATTAATAAGTCACTGTTGTTTCGCTAACGGGAGAGAGGGAGAGACAGAGAGACACTGGGTGGCCTTGATCTTTGGATTTTGAAAACATTTACTAATATTGCGAAATATGCACTTAATGGACTTAGCGTCCATTTTGAAGTCGGACACAGGTTCATGAAGCGGAAGCTGCTCCGTTTGAACGAACTATTACAATTCTATGCTTGTGATGTGGAACCTGTTGAACATACATCGAAATTATTTCCAAAAGATTTTCAACAGTTGCACTCTTTTATAATGTATCAAGCTACTTAGGTGACCATTTAGGAAACAATCCCCGGCGACATGTAAATAGTCGCAAAGATGATTGACGTGACTGGTGTCAGTTTGTCACCGTGTTTACATGGGACGTCGTTATGTGTTACTACTCATGGTCACTCTGTTCAAGCTTAGAGCCAACAGTGAGACGGAAAAACAAAGGTCACACAAAGTGGGTGACGCCCAAACCATGGCCAATGGAAAGATTGTGTTTAGCCTTATACCCTTATCTTTTGGTGTCATCACTGATTATCAGTGCTCTGTTTATGTAATGTTTTACCGCTATTCTGTGCAACGGAATCTTATCGACGGAAAATCGTTATCTTTGGCGTTGGCGTAACATATGTACATACGTTATATGCACAGAAATTATTTGATACAAAAGGAATTTATACCATGTGGATGACACAATCAGTAAGATTCCGACCTTCCGCTCTCCGAGCAGACACACTATCTACTAGGCCTTAGCAAAGATCGTAACTTTAAGCATTCGACAGAACAGTTCCATAAATGACCACGACTATAAATGTCAGATAATGTATTTTAGTTCTCGATATACATGCATTTAACTTAGGCCGAGATATATTCTTATCTCGCGTTTATGCATATACCCAATGATATCGAGGTTGCAGAGCACAGGGTCGTATCAAACTGAGATATGGCAGTATTAGATAAGATTTTCTAACATAAAAGTATTATAAAGTACTATTAATATCTTGACATTCTGAGAAGCATAATTTCAGTTAGAAAATTCAGGCCAAGCTATAATTAACTGTGCATTACTAAATCAAGACAATTTTTGTCGGGGAAAATGCCTGCAGTAAAATAAACTATAAACATACATATAACACGAAACAGCAAACTAAACGTACTTAAAGAACACATGTGGATGCTTTCGTGTTTCTGGGAGCATGATACTTAGAGACATAGGTTCTGAATGTGACAGCACACAATGCATTGTTGTTAAGTTAATAGGTGGTTAGAAGGGCACTTTTGTTTAAACATGAATAACACTTGTTGACAATCAACTTCGAACAAACAGGAATGGCGCAAAACGAAGTTACCAGAAATATGGTCATCAAATCACAATAACGTCTTTTTGAAGTCAATATCTACTGAAGGGCTTGAGTCATGAGTTGCAACGATCCGGCCCACCACCTGTGGCGTCACGTCAACAAGACAACCATATTCGATTGGTGCATATTCTACCAAGATATCAGGTTGGCAATTCCTGAGCTGAAACCAGTCAGTGGCCGTAGCTTATGGACGCAAGGTCAGGGTCCAGATATACGTCCGGTTTTACTTTTACGTCACCGTCAGGCACGCAGAGCTCTGAGACAGGATGTGAGGTTCAGAATACTAGACTGGGACAGTCCACTGTTGACGGGTCCAGGTTTCATATTGACAACTCTGATGGTACAAGAGGTGTACATGCTTCTGGGAGAACGTTTTACAGATGGTTTTGTTACTTAGCACCGTTGTGTTCACGGTGGAAGTGCAATGGTATGAGATGGCTTTACTATCTATCAGAGAACACAACTAATGATGGTAAGTTGAAATTATAATTCAATGTTAATTTTTAACAATCAGTCCGTCAATAAACTGTAGCTAATTGTAATAGGTAGAAAACCGTCAATAAGTAGCAGTGCTAATGTGCGAACAGATGGCCGTCGAGCTTGATTTCAGAAGATCTGCACAGAAAAATGTATGTCAAGGACGGTGTCCAAACATAATGTCTCAGTACGGACCAGTTCGTGTCACCCACACGTGTAACACCGCCCAAATGAAATAATGAATATCAGAAATCTACACTGCGTAGGTAGGATCGTGATAAGCCAGATAACCAGAGGGTATGATTATATTTCCTTGACCTCAGAAACAATATCGTCCAAAGGACAGACATACCTTGGTACATTTCATGTTTCGCAACGTGGATTCTTATTGCGAAATATGCACTGAATCGCCATGAACATAATCTCATGGAGAACAGATAAGCTTACTATGGTCCGTTTGCTCGAACAAATATTGACATGTGTTTGCAATGAAGAACCGAGTCGTCATGAACTTTAAAACATAATCTCATGGAGAACAGATCTTAATATGGTCCGTTTTGGATAGTGAAAACCTGTATCTTTGTGGGGAGACAGCCAGATTACAAGAGGGTATCATTACATTTGACCTTAGAAACAAAGGGCAGACATTTCATGTTTCGCAAGGTGAATTCCTATTGCGAAATATGCACTGAATCATTATGAACGTGAATACAAAATGCCATAGAGAAGAGATAAACTTAATACGGCCCGTTTGCTCGAACAAATATTGTCATGTGTTTGCAATCAGGAACCGTTATATGTTGGCTGTAGTGTCTAACCTGAGGTGACATGCATCTCAAGTTTTACACACGCTCACCGATTTCAAATATGTTTCACTTTCCATATAGTTCTGTGACCTAACGTGACACAGAAACGCTATCAAGTCAAAGTCAATGCTATCGATTACCGTTGATTGGATTGAACGCTGTTCCTGATTTCATCAGGTAAGAAGGAAATAAGTCGCAGAAACGTATTCAGTGCCTATAAAACTGGCCGCCAGTTGATCACCACCATTCCATCCAACGTCTGACGTTTAACATGCTGCTGCTTCTGGTCACTCTGTCCTGCCTGGCGGCCGTCAAGGCTCAAGCCTCACCTTGCTGCATTGGAATCAGTTGGTCTGCAAAAGTGTTTGATGTTCGCGCACCCTTCCAAGGAAATAACGTAAGTACAAAACGGTCACTTTTATCATAGCGACATGTTTGTGACAAAAGATTTTATTTTGTGTGCACATAAGAGATAACTTCAACTTCAACAATACGGTGTACTCGAGAACCCCCAAATAACAATGACAGAATGACAGAAGAAGTTCGTTTGTTGTTTAACGCTGCACTCAGTAATATTAAAGCGTTATCGATATGGCGGAACACCAATTCTAACCCGGATCTTTATGGGTACATGCATGAGCATAGTAGTATTGGCATAGATAGTATGTGTCAATAGTAGTAGTAGCAGTAGTAGCAGTAGTAGTAGTAGTTGTAACCCGTCTTCATGTAGTAATAGTAGTAGTAGTAGTAGTAGTAGTAGTAGTAGTAGTAGTAGTAGTTGTTCTTCTTCTTCTTCTTGTTGTTGTTGTTGTTGTTGTCTCCCTCATAACATGTCAAAAGTAGTTATATTTAAATACCTTTGTAGTATTTTCAAATCCAGAACAAAACGAAAGTAGTTACATCTGGAATGTATCTGCTCTAAATGTTCACGTTGAAAATCTCCCTCCCCCACATTGTTTAACAATGTCTGTAAAATCATTCATCTTGCGTTATACATTTTAGATAAATGCTGACTTCTACTACGACTGGAACAACGGAGCTACTGCCATTCAGTACACTGTGTATGGATTAATTGCGAAGTCAACCAGAATTGTCACGTCGTATCAAAAGGTAGCACCACTCATCTGTACATTGGAAATAGTCACCAAAGCCATAGTTAGATGTTGTTCGTCATCCTACCTAGAATTCATTGAGGAATGGTTCAACCGTTAACTGATGCTCTTTGTTTTGTGGACAGAGCAGGGAAGTTGGGTTTCGATTCCTGTAGCAATATCCTGCAAAATGACGTTAAAAGATGGGACGTGCTGTTATCCTGATTGCAGGCAGCATTAGGGTATACAATAGAAGTGTCCACAATTTGCAATACATCAGTTATATCACCTCACCTCACCTTTTTGTGAACAGACTATTTGGGCATGGGCACCTTCATTGAGTTCTTCCTGCTTATTTCGGAATGGTTGTACGTTTTACAGACATGTAATTGTCGTGCGGCTCTACGTGTTCCATACAGGTAATTGAGGTATACGTCTAAATAAGGTATTTGAGATACGGTTCTACGTGTTATATACACTCAGGTAATTTGAGATACGGTTCTGCGTGTTACATAGAGGTAATTGAGATACTGTTCTGCGTGTTACATACAGGTAATTGAGATATGGTTCTACGTGTTACACCGCCTTCGTGGTGTAATGGTTAGAGCGTCCGCCCGGAGAGCGGAAGGTCGCAGGTTCGATCCCCGACCGCGCCATACCAAAAGACGTACAAATATGGTACTTGTTGGTCCCTGCCTGGCGCTCGGCATTAATGGGTAAAACAAGGACTGGTCATGCTCGAGTCAGTTCATGCTTAACTTCATACATGGTATCTCATTGAGTGTGAAAACCAGCTTAAGTCTGGGCTAGTACAAGCAGACACACATACACACGCATGCACGTCGTCATATGAGCGAAATACATAAGTGTGACGTTAAACCCCATTTCACCTCACCTCATCTTCTAGGATTACATACAAAATATATATTTTGTTCAAAATATATTTTGATTTTGCAGAATGAACGCTACACCATCTTGGCCGATGGAACATGTACCAAGGACGCCCCAACTGGCGTGCTTCTGCCAAACTGCATCAGTAACTCAGGGTGAAAAGTCTTTCTTCATGAGAAATGACGTGTGGTCACATTGTGATGAAAAGTGATCTTTGTCACATCGAAATAATGCATACACTGTAGCAAATACATGCTAGGACCGGATGCGTAAAGTGATCTATTTATGGCATACAATTCATGCAAAGCTATACCTTTGAAACATATGCTCATCGTATATTTCTTTGATGGGCATTTTAGAAGTTGGGAAGTACAATATTGGCAAACGTCATTAACAACTTTATCGGGTGCCAGTAAAATCGCCCCAGCTACAAAATGCGCCGGAGTTTTGGTCAAATTGCCCAAGGTTTGGTCAAATTGCCCGAAGGGTGTAGTCAAAATGCCCCAATATATTTAAAATGATTAGATATATACCATAAATGCATATTTTATGTCAACTTCGATATAACATTCTTCATACAATATTATATAGTAATATTTCTGATAAATGTTCCATAAATAAATTCGTTAAAAACACGATGACAGACCAAACAAGGAAATATTCTCTTTGATAAAAACTTTGGATCTAGATTTTGTCAAATAATCCATGCTCGTCTCAGGTTGGGTTGTAGTGACTTAAACGCTCATTGTTTTGATAGACATATTTCAAATAATCCGAATTGTGCATGTGGGTATCTATTTCGCGAGTATTACGTTTCGATACAGATTCTTATCACCTGAAGGGTCTGGCAAACCAGGCAGTATTATTATCTTGCATTCGCTTTTGCTACCAGTATCAGTGGTGACATTGCAAGTGTCATGATAGAATAGCCATGTATCTGTAATACAGTAATTGTAACATATCAATGGTCTCCTTCCGTGTAGACGACAGTGCAGACCTTGGCTCAAGCTATATCGGCATTGAGGGAAGCGGGTTGAAATCCGACAACTGGTTGATGACTATCAAATCTGTCAACCTAACCATGGGCGTCACCGACCCAGGCTGTGTCTTAACCTACTTGGGAATCTTCAACCAGGCAGCAAGTCGTAAGTAGATACTTTACACAGATCGACTTGGGTGGAGCAGTCCAGGAGGTAATGTTCCGATTTCCATCTCGAAGGAATGAAACATTCTCTTTTTGCTGCTTTCGGGAGGGAAACACAATCTGCGTTTTCAATATAGGTGAGTTTTCAATATAGAGTGCGGTTACCAGCAGACTTACAATAGACTGCAATAAATATAAGCCACCACGGTAATGCAAAAACCAAACTATAAATGTAAAAAACAATTATTAGAAACCTCCGATTAACCAATCAAAATCGAGTAAGTTTAAATCTATATTACGATGTAGAATGGGGTTGTTTTGCATCAAATCATTCTCTACACAAGATGGAGGTAATGCCACTGTGGTGATGTAACCACCAAACCATGAGGTTCGATTTGTGTCCAGTTTTAAGTTTTAGAAACCTCGGAATGACCAATCAAAATCGAATATCCTGTTGTTCTGCTTTAAATCATGTTCCACTCAACATGGACTGTAGTTACTATGAAACATTCTGTTTTTCATCAGCTGCAGATACAGAACTATACTTCAACGGATATAAAACAGGCATCACGGATCCAGCTGCTTTCGACGTTCCCCTCTCCTGTTAATGTGGGCAGCCACACTTCATCTTGTAGACCCGATTGTCGTCTGTTGGACTTTACAAAATATACAAATATTTTTATATCAATAAAAACTACTTATAAGTATGGCAAGTTGTGTTTTCAATTACAAGCACAACACCACAAGAGTCTCTACCCTTTATACAAGTTCACAGTGCAGTCTAACTGGTGATTTGCATGTATGTATGTATGTATGTATGTATGTATGTATGTATGTATGTATGTATGTATGTATGTATGTATGTATGTATGGGTGTATGTATGTATGTATGTATGTATGTATGTATGTATGTATGTATGTGTGTGTGTGTGTGTGTGTGTGTGTGTGTGTATGTATGTATGTATAGATGCCCACACACAAACGCACGCTTTCATGCATGAGTGTGAAGTCTTCACTTGTCTTACGAGGCGAAGAAATGGTTGGAGGTTTTTAGTGTCATCGTACGACGGCGCGAGTAGGTTTTATAACACCAAGCACAGGTTGCTTATGAATCCAACCATTGGACGAAACTGGTCATGTCGTGTCATGACGTGTTATGGCAGACATGTGGAAGACACTTGGCCCATCAGTTAGGGGTGGGTATTGCAGTGATTTTTTATACTGCGAAAGCATATATTGCGATATGTATTGCATTATATTGCAAGATTTGTTTTTAAACAAAAAAATACTTATAATCAAGCTAATGTTTGATTAAAAATGCTTTAGCAAAAGCACAACAAAATCACTATGCTTGATTGAGCTTTAATAAAAACTTTTAATCATGACAAAATAAATAATATTTGGCACAAATGAAACAAGGAAAAGAACAATTTAACATCAACACAGTGGTTACTAGTTTAAACTAGTTTCTACACTCTCAAAAAGCGCTGAGATGTTAGACAGCAACTTGACCAGGTCAGGCAGAGATCACTGGTCATTAATGAGTAAATATTTAAAACATTCAAATCCATTGCGAAACACTTGAGCAAAAAATTAAGAAGACAACTTCAAACCTTGACTTCCGGTGTGAAAAACGGAAATATCCGAAGATTTCCGAGTGTTAAGAAGTTTTCCGAATGCATGTCGAAATACCGGTTTTCGATCAGCGTATCGCAATGCGTATCGATTTCATGTCTGAACCGGTAAATACCGGTAAACTGGTTATATTACGCAGCCCTAGCATCAGTGACAACAAAGTATGTCCAATGTCATTCTCTATTTTTCATTTGCTCTATATGTCCCCGTGTTTTAAGGTGGACAGTTGACTAGCCTTTGCATGGGATTGTGGCGGGTGGGACAGGATACGCACATTTATTTTCGCAAACGCTTTGTATCAATACTATTTAATAGCAATAGCACATTCTCATGATACAGTCGACTCTCCTTGAAGCACACACGAATTTGGAATAGGCGGCGTACTTTTTTGCGTAATATTTTGCGGTTTTTCACAACCGAGAACAGAGAAGGAAGTAAGGATTATCGTCATCACATAATATTCATGTTGTAGTGTTCCTACAAGTTTATCAGGTCATTGCAGTGGACATAATATAGCTGGAATGTTGTAATCTGTGGCATTAAACCATTCGTGTTTGGTCTGGCAAAACATCTATTTATGAATTGGTCAATTAAAGGTTTTACTACACAATGACCAAAAACGGTAGACGTACACATATTTTTTCAGCCGTAAATCTCAAACTTAACGAACGAGTTCAAATTGACCATGTCAGAACGATTCTAAGATGAATTGGTTCTAAATATGTGTTGAGGACGGTAAACTGACCCTAATAATTTACCCTTCTGTAGCAAAAGCAAGGGCGTAACAATTGTTCGAACATGCGGTGAACTGAGATTGTAGCGAATTGGAATGACGATGCTTGCCTTTCTTGGTTAACAAGGGTTGCGTGCACATGTATGAATGTGAGCTTACAGAGAGGCATTATCCATAGTGTACACCCAAACAGATATACATGTAAAGAGCTTCTTATCCTCTGAACCTTTCAACTATACATTCGGTGTGTTTAGATACAATTCTCACTGTTCTGATTATAATGCACATGGTCTGACGAAACCTTTGTGAGGACTTTCTGGCGTTGTCCACTGATGGTTACCTCAATACCATTGGAATCTGTTGCCAATAGGGATCCAAGCACTCCATATTCATGTAGATGCCAATAAACTTCCTGTTAGCATGTTTTAATAACACACACACACGCACTCACAAAACCATATATCTATATAGATCAAGGACAGTATATAAAGAGATGTATGTGTATATATGTATATATCTATATACTAGTATATGTATGTAGTGTGATGTTGATCTTTGTATGTTGAAAACATTGACAAATATTATGAAATATGAACTGAATGGGCATCGAGTTCAATTTGAAATCTGTTCATCAGATAAGCGGATGCTTTTGGTTAGGAACATATTTGGATTCTCACTCTGCTGATGAACATGTATCGATACGCTTTGCAAGCAATTTTCAGTAGGTTCACTCCTTCATGATGAATCTAGCCAATAAGGTGACCCTACTTCTGAAATCCTGCAACAGGGAAACAATCCCGGACGACATGTAAATAGTCGCAAAAAATGAACCACGTGACTGGTGTCACAGTCTTTTCATGAGACATCGTTATGTTCAACATGTTGTTACACGTGGTCACATGTGTTTGACAAAATCAAAAGGATTGCCTTCAACGTTTGCAATTTAAGAAAAAAACAACGACGTTCATTTCTGTCACATCTGGTTTTCTCAACTTCATATGGCACTACATAATTTCAGGGGAAAACCTCAATCTACAATTTGTAACTAACCGTGGTGACCATAGATACAGTTAGATTTCTGTCTCCATATATTCAAAACAATTCTGAAGTTCACCGACAAAACAATTTGCGGAATTCAACAGGCAGTACCACATTTGACGTAACTTGGCATGACACGACCAGAGGATCGAACTACCGACCTTCCCCTCTCCGAGCAGACACACTATCTACTAGGCCTTAGCAACGATCGTAACTTTAAGCATTCGCCAGATTATCGGAACAAGTTCATAAATGACCACGACCATAAATGTCAGATAATGTTATTTTGTTCTAAATATACATGCATTTAATCTTGGCAGACATATATACTTATCTCGTGTTATGCATATGCCCAATGCTATCGAGGCTGCAGGGCACAAGGTCCTATCAAGCTGAGATATGACAAAATTATTAGATGAGATTTTCTAACAATTAAATTTAAAACATGTACTATTAATACCTAGACATTCTGGAGAAAGCATAATTTCAGTTGGAAAATTCAGCCAAGTTATAACTGACTATAATTATAACGTAACTAAATCAAGACAATGTTTATCGGGAAAATGCCTGCACATTCTCAACATCAGCAAAATCCGTCACCTTTTTGGACTATAACACATCTCAGTTAGTCATGACAAGTCTTGTAATCTCCAAACTCGACTACTGCAACTCTATCTACTTTAACATTCCTGGACATCTACTTTCCAAACTGCAAAGAAATCAAAACTCTGCTGCCCGAGTTGTTGTCCGTGTTCCACGATATGACACCATCACTCCCATCCTCGAACAACTTCACTGGCTCCCCATATCCTTCAGAATCAATTTCAAACTTCTCCTCTTCACACACAGCTGCATTTACGAAAATGACTTTCCCAAATACCTGAAGAATCTTGTAACTCTCCATACTCCCAGCACATCTCTCCGCTCCAGCAACTCCCTTCTTCTGTCTCAGCCAACCACCAAAACCACTATGGGTGACAGAGCCTTCTCAGCTGCAGCCCCATTACTCTGGAACAGCCTCCCTATCACTATCAAAGAAATCAATTGTAAAGACTCTTTCAAAAAAAGCCCTAAAAACCCACCTGTTCACAGTATCCCTCTCATAGGCTTTTCTTACTCTCTTCTTCAGCGCCTTTGAGCAAATAGTATTTGGAAGCAGGCGCTATATAAATTCATTATCATATCATATCATATCAGTAAAATAAACTACAAACATACAAATGACATGAAATAGAAAAATAAACGTACTTAATGGACACACGTGGATGCTGTCGTGTTTCCAGGAGCATGGTACTCACAGACATGTTCTAAATGTGGACAACACACAATGCATGATTGTTAAGTTAACAGGTTGTTAGAAAGGCAATTTGTTTAACCATAAATAATACTTGTTGAAAATCAACTATGGTCATCAAATCACAATAACGTCTTTTTGAAGTCGATATCTACTGAAGAGCTTGAGTCATGAACTGCAACGATCCGGTCTACCACATTTGACTTCACGTCAACAAGACAACCATATTCCATTGATGCACGTACGGATCCCACCACAATAACAGGTTGGCAATTCCTGACATGAAACCATTCAGTGATCGAACCTAAAGGAGAATTCGCTATTTTTTGAATCCAGGTTTCATATTGACAACTCTGGTCGTGCTGGAGGCGTTCCTCAGCAACGTCGTTTTCAGAGTGGAAGTGTAATGGTATGAGGTGGACAGTTGAAATTAGAATGCGTAGGCTACTCATGCCAATCTTGGCCGTTGAGCTTGATTTTATAACATCTGTACAGAAAAATGTATGTCAAGGACAGGGTCCAAACATGATGTCTCAATACTGACCAGTTCGTGTCACCCACACGTGTAACCCCCCACAAAAAAAGAAATGAAAGTGCGAGATATACAATGAATATACGAAGGATGGATCGTGAAAACTTGTCTCCTTGTGGGAGAGAGACAGATTACGAGAGAGTATTATCAAATTTCCTTGACCTCTTAAAAACAATGTCGTCCAAAGGACAGACTTATCTCAGTAGATTCCATGTTACGCAACGTGGATTCTTATTGCGAAATATGCACTAAATCGTTAGGAACGTGAACACATAATGCCGTAGAGAAATGATAAGCTTAATGTGGTCCGTTTGCTCGAACAAATATTCTTATGTGTTTGCAATGACGAACTGATAAATGTTGGCTGCAGTGTCTAACCTGAGGTGACATACATCTGAAGTTTTACACACGTTCACAGATTTCAAATATGTTTCACTTTCCACACAGTTCTGTGACCTAACGTCACACTGAAACGGTATCTATTAACATTAATTGGATAGAACGCTGTTCCTGATTTCATCAGGTAAGGAGGTACAGAGTCGCAGAAACGTATCCAGTGCCTATAAAACTAGCGGCCAGTTGATCACCACCATTCACTCCAACGTCTGACGTCCAACATGCTGCTGCTGCTCCTGGTCACTCTGTCCTGCCTTGCGACCGTCAAGGCACAACCTACACCTTGCTGCATGGAAACCGCTTGGTCAGCAAAAGTGTTTGATGTTCGCGCGCCCTTCCAGGGAAATAACGTAAGTACAAAATATCATGTTTACCATAGCGACATGTTTTTGACAATAGATTATATTTTGTGTGGACAGAAGAGATACGTGTAACTTCAACTTCAACGGTATGGTGTACTCGAGAAACACAAAATAGCAATAATAGTGGAAGATATTCGCATGTTGTTTAACGCTGCACTCAGTAAAAATACAACCCGGCGGTCTGTAAATAATTGAGTTCAGTGATAAAAAAAATCATGAGCAACGATCTACGTAGTAGTAGTAGTAGTAGTAGTAGTAGTAGTAGTAGTAGTAGTAGTAGTAGTAGTTGTTTGTTGTTATATTATTAAGTAGTTATATTTAGATACCTTTGTAGTATTTTCACATTGAAAATCTCCCTCATTGTATAACATTGTCTGTAAAATCATTGGTCTTGTATTATACATTTTAGATCAATGCTGACTTCTACTACGACTACGACAAAGCAGCTACTGCCATCCAGTACACTGTGTATGGATTAATTGCGAAGTCAACCAAAATTGTTACGGCCTATCTAAAGGTATCACTATTCATTTGTACATTGGAAATAGTCACCAATTCCACAGTTAGATGTTGTTCGCCATCCTACCTAGAATTCATTGAGGTATGGTTCAACCGTTAACTGATGCTCGTTATCTTGTGGACAGAGCGTTTGTCCACGGGGGGAAGTCGGGTTTCGATTCCTGCAGTAATTATACAAAAAGACGTTTAAATATGGTACTTGCTGTTATCCTGATGGCAGGCAGCATTAGGGTATACAAAAGAAGTGTCGACAATTTGCTGTACTTGCACCAGTGATCGCTCCTCATCTCACCTTTTTGTGAACAGATTATTTGGGTATGGTTCATTCGGGCACTTGTATTGAAGTTTGGTTGCCCCTGATAATTCCTGCTCATTTGGAATTGGTTGCACGTTTTACAGACATGTAATTGTCGTGCGGCCTTCCGTGTTACATACAGGTAATTGATGTATGGTTTTGTGTGTAGCATGCAGGTAATTGAGGTACGGCTCTGCGTGTTACATACAGGTAATTAATGTATGGTTTGGTGTGTAGCATGCAGGTAATTGAAGTACGGTTCTGCGTGTTATATACAGGTAATTGATGTATGGTTTGGTGTGTAGCATGCAGGTAATTGAAGTACGGTTCTGTGTGTTACATACAGGTAATTAATGTATGGTTTTGTGTGTAGCATGCAGGTAATTGAAGTACGGTTCTGCGTGTTAGATACAGGTAACTAATGTATGGTTTGGTGTGTAGCATGCATGTAATTGAAGCACGGTTCTGTGTGTTACATACAGGTAATTGATGTATGGTTTGGTGTGTAGCATGCAGGTAATTGAAGTACGGTTCTGTGTGTTACATACAGGTAATGGATGTATGGTTTGGTGTGTAGCATGCAGGTAATTGAAGTACGGTTCTGTGTGTTACATACAGGTAATGAATGTATGGTTTGGTGTGTAGCATGCAGGTAATTGAAGTACGGTATCTGGTTTGTGTTAGCATATACAGGTAACATACAGGTAATGGATGTATGGTTTGGTGTGTAGCATGCAGGTAATTGAAGTACGGTTCTGCGTGTTACATACAGGTAATTGAGGCATAGTTCTATGTGTTACACCGCCTGCGTGGTGTAATGTTAGTGCGCCTTTCTGGAGAACGGAAGGTCGCGGGTTCGATCCCCGGGCGCGTCATACCAAACGACGTTAAAATTTGGTACTTGTTGGTCGTTGCCTGGCACTTGGCATTAATGAGTAAAATATGTTTAAGTGTGACGTTCAACCCCATTTCACCTCACCTCATCTCACCTCACCTCACCCACCTTCTACGTGTTTACTGGTACATACGCGCTGCGTGTTGTACATACTGCAGGACTTTTTCAAATATATTTTGGATTTTCCAGAATGAACGCTACACCATCTTGGCCAATGGAACATGTACGAAGGACGTGCCAATAGACGTGCTTCTGCCAAAGTGCATTCCGAGTACGTGTGTCAGGGTGAAAAGTGATCATGAAATTTATAGAAATGATTCATGTGGTCACGTTGTGATAAACACAGGACCAAAAGTCGGATTTCACACCATCGAAATAAATGCATACACTGTAGGAAATACATGCCGGAATTGTGTGTTTCAAGCTATTTGCAGTCTAAGTAAACTGAGACTCAGTATTATTTGCGACCTATGACCGTCCAATCAAACGCAAGACGGCCGAACGAATTTAACCAATCAGGCAACGGCTACTTGTTAGAGTTTGGGGGGACTTACAGAACGGTTTTTGTATTTTCTCATCCCTGGTCGCTGACACTGATCTGTCAACAAACGAAAATGCGCATAAAACACAGAGATTTGACCTGCAGTATATACGCTTGTGGGTTTCTAATGCATGGTTACAGTTTGCTTATATTTTTCGCAAGATAACATCCTTGAATATTGACAAAAACGCTATTTTCAGCGACTGTGTACTCATTGCGTGTATCACTCGGAAGCGATCGTGCGGAAAATAGCATTCGGAGTCGTTCGAGTTTTTGAGGTAAAGGTTCAAACGGTATGTGCGAATGTTAACTTTCGCGATTTGGTAAGCTGTGTTCTAATTGGTCAGTCAAAAAGGTTAGCTCACGCGACCTTCTACTAGGTTTTGTTAGACTCAGAATAGCAGTGTAACGAATAATACTGAGCCTAAGTTTACTTAGACTGAAGATATTTGGGGCATACATTTCATGCATCCTATACCTTTGAAACATATGCTCATCGTACGTTTCTTTGAGGGACATTTTAGAAGTACAATGTTGGAAAAGGCCATTAATAACAACTTGATCTATTTCGCTAAAGATTCTTATCAGCTAAAGGGTCTGGCAAAACAGGCTGTATTATGCAAGCTAACACGTCTTATTATCTCTCCATTGTGAGGTGCTTGTTTAGAGGGATTAAAAGGCCGAGTGGTGACATCGCAAGTGTCATTATAGAATAGTCCTCTCTTATAATACAGTTACTGTAACATATCAGTGGCTTCCTTCTGTGTAGACGACAGTGCAGACATTGGCTCAAGCTACATCGGCACTGAATCAAGTGGGATGAAGTCCAACAACTGGGTGGTTATCAACGGTTCTATCAACATAACCATGGGCGTCACCGACCCCGACTGTGTTTTAACCTACTTGGGAGTCAACAACCCGGCAGCAAGTCGTGAGTAGATCCTTTACAAAGATCGACGCAGGCGCAGAAGTCCAGGAGGTAATGTTCCGATTTCGATCTCGAAGGAATGAAACATTGCCTTTTTGTTGCTTTCGGGAGGGAAACGCAATCTGCGTTTTCAATATAAAGTGAGGTTACTGGTAGATTTACAATAGACTGCAATAAATATTAGCCATCACGGTAATTGAAACACCAAACCATAAATGTAGCAAAAAGCATTAGAAACCTCCGTTTAACCAATCAAAATCCAGTATCTTTAAAATCTATATTACCATGTAGAATGGAGTTGTTTTGCATCAAATCATTCTCTCCACAACATGCTTTGTATTTACTATGAACATTCTGCTTTTCATCAGCTACAGATACAGAACTATACTTCAATGGATATAAAACAGGCACCACGGATCCAACTGCTTTTGACATCCCCATCTCCTGTGAATAAGGGCAGCCACACGTCATCTTGTAGACCCGATTGTTGGCTATCACAAAATATAGAAATGATGTTTAAATCAATAAAACCTATTTAAAAGTATGGCAAGTTCTGCTTTCAATTACAAGCACAACACCACAAGAGTCTCTACCCTTTATGTATGTATGTATGTATGTATGTATGTATGTATGTATGTATGTATGTATGTATGTATGTATGTATGTATGTATGTATGTGTGTGTGTATGTGTATGTATGTATGTATGTCTGTATGTATGTATGTATGTATGTATGTATGTGTGTATGTGTGTGCGTATGTATGTATGTATGTATGTATGTATGTGCATGTGTATGCATGTTTGCCTGAGTGTGCAGTCATCATTTGTCTTACGAGGCGTGAGTGTGCACTTGTAGACGCGAGTAGTTTTTTATAACACCAAGCACAGGTTGCTTATGAATCCAACCATTGGACGAAACTGGTCATGTCGTGTCATGACGTTTTATTGTAGACACGTGGAAGACACTTGGCGCATCAGTGACAACAAAGTATGTCGAATGTCATTCCCAATATTTCATTTAATCTATATGTTCCCATGCTTTAAGGTTGACAATTGACTAGCCTTTGCATTGATTGTGACGGATGGGACAGGATAGGCAACTTCTTTTTTGCAACCGCTTTGCATCATTCCTATTTAATAGCAATAGCACAACTCTCCATGTAGCAGGCACGAACTTGGAATAGGCGGCGTCCCTTTTCACACATTTTGTGTAAGAGCTGTAGTAAAAACCGAGTACAGAAAAGGAAAAAAGGACTTGTCATCACATAATATTCATCTTGTAGTGTTTCCACAACTATATCAGGCCATTGCAGTGGACATTATATAGCTGGAATGTTGTAATCTGTGGCATTAAAACATTCGTGTTTGGTCTGGCAAACCATCTGTTTATGAATGGTCAATTAAAGGTTTCGCTACACACTGACAAATAAACGGTAAATATGCACATATTTATTCAGCCGTAAATCTCAAACTTAACTTAACTTCAAATGGGCTATATGTCAGAACGATTCTAAGATAAATTAGTTCTAAATATGTATTGAGGACATTAAAATGACATTATTAGTTTTCCCTTTCTGTAGCAAATGTCTAGGGCGTAACAATTGTTCGAACATTCGATGAACCGGGGATTATAGCGTGTTGGAATGACAACACTTGCCTTTCTTAGTTAACAATAGTTACATGTACATACATGAATGTGAGCTTACAGTGAGACATTATTCACAGTGAACACCCAAACAGAAAAATAACATTTAAAAATCTTCTGATCCTCTGAAGCGACAAATACATGATACAAGCAAAATAGCTGAAAA